AAAAAAATCTTTCTTGCAACCCGTAAAAATCTTTTTCTTAAACGTATGTCTGACTGAGTATGAATTCTTCCAACATACAAAACAAATATACCCAATCAGACAAGCGTTGAAAAATCAACAGTTTTACACTTAAACAGAAAGACGAATTTCAGAACGTTAATATTTGCAAAGTAATTTTTGCTCCCAAAAAACTTTTCGAACGCGTAAAAATGTTTGCTTTTTAAACTTAAACACGTCTTTTTTTCCAACATTTATTTGACTAAGTATGAATTCGTCGAACACAAAAAGCAGATATAGTCAGTCAGACAAGAGTGAGGGTGCAAATGAGAGTAAAGGAAGTCTGCGAAGTACACCCAGACTTACATCCAAACCTACACCTTTAGCCTTACCCACACCTCCATCATACTCAGACACCCAAACACACATACACATCCACACTCACACCCATACCCCCACCTACAATTAGTACGTTTCTCTTTTGTTAAATACTACTGTAGATATTTTTCATAAATCATTTAGCTCTATCAATATTGGAACGATTCTCCCAACTAAGGTCGAAAGTAAAAATATCGAAGCATAAAAAGATCGAACAAAAATGTCGAAAATAAAATGTCGAAGTACAAGAATATCGAAGGATAAAAATATCAAAGAAAAAAAGTCGAAATATGAAAATGATAAGACTTTGGGTGTCCGAAATAACTTAATGAGAAAAATAAAGAAAAACGTTTGAGGGTGGGTGTGAGTGTGGTTGTAAATATAGACATTCATCTGTATTTAATTCCACCCACACTCTCACCCACACCCACCCACCCTCACACCCACCCACCCTCACACCCACCCACCCTCATACCCACACCCACACCCACACCCACCCACCCTCACCCACACCCACCCACCCTCACCCACACCCACACCCACACCCACACTCACACCCACACCCATCCTTGCCCAAGAAATTGTTTCACTACTTTCACTGAAGTTGAGCTTGAAGTAATATTCCACCAAGTTAGTTCTTCACCTTCCTTAAAGTTTTTACTGATATCCACATTCACTCCACGCCATAAGCTTACATGATGGCTTGGTAGTTTTTTCAATGCATTGTCAAATAGTTTCAGATAACCATGCCATGGTACTAAAACAGTTCGGTCTTTGATTCGAAGTAGTCCATTAAGTACTCGATAAAGGCTTTGTTCGCCCCATTCCATTGTATATATATAGATAGCTGCTGATTCTTCACGAGTTAGACCATGTTCTGAAGGAAAGTGACATTCAGTCTTTGCAATTCGAATGAATTCATCTAGTTGATCAATGTGTGGTAGAACAGGATCAAGGGCCTGTCGAAGTGGAAGTAATGGATGAGTGCGATAACCATAAATAGGTGGAAGTCGTATTGGTTTGTGATCAACGTTTGTAAAACGGAGCATTTCTTTCAAGAAATAGCGTAATTAGAATGGCTGATCTAAAACAATGAATCACTGAAGGATCAGTTATTAATAGATAATTCCCGGCCAGAGAAGCGTTAAAAATAACGATATTGTTACGCGTAAACCAGAAATTTTTTTCAGAGAGAGATGAATTTCACAACATTCGTGTTTACAAACTTACTTCTTCAAAACAAGTTTCTTTTCGAACGCGTAAAGACGTGGGTTTTCAGCGCTCGTCGCACTGAGTAGTATCTTTTCAGTTTTTGACAATAGTTTTTGGCTTCATAAATAACATCTATCGGTGGCAATAATAAACATGACCACTATCTCACAAATTATAAAACAATACTGGAAGCTCTTTTAATTATTTCAGCATTTTAATGAAAGTCTTTTTACTAATTAAACTTTTTTTCTTAACAACTCTGTTAAAAGTAAGAACCGAACCTTGGAACCAAGTGTTTTTAGATTACGATGTATAAAAATAATGAAAGTGGATATGCGCACCTAGGTGGATATATTGAATTAATTATTATAAATTAAGTTATATTACAGCCGTAGATACATTTGATTATTAACATATATAAAATATCTTGACTTAATAGTAGTTTTACTT